TATATATTTCTCCAAGGCTCATACTCTAGCTTGGACATAAAGCAAGCTTGAGAAAATTCAAATACACAGAGCTCATTTAATCCATCTTCTCGGACCACAGTGTCATTAAACTGGAAATCAACAATAGAAAGAATAGACAAATAAAGACAATAACTTGGAGACTCAACAATTTACTTCTCAAAAAGGAATTTGTAATAGAGCAAATAAGAGAGGAGATTAGGAAATTCTTAGAAACTAACAAGATTAGTTTCTAGGAATGCAACATACCAAGACCTATGGGATGCAGCAAGAGTGGTTATCAGCGGCTACTTAATTGCAAATGCACACATGTAAAAGGAGGATAGAATCTCAGTCTCCTCCTTAACACAGCACCTCCAGCAATTAGAACAGAGGCAACAGCAGAATCCCTCCAACAGCAGAAGAAAAGAAATTATAAAAATAGGAGCAGAAATAAATGAAATGGAAAAAGAAGAACAATGGGAAAAATGAGCAAAACAATAAGTTGGCTCTTTGAAAGGATTAAGAAAATGGACTCACTACTAGCAAACTTAACAAAGGAAAAGAAGGAACAGATGTCCGTATCAAGAATTAAGGATGAAACAGAAGTCACAACAGACCCAAATAAAATATAAAAGATTAATAACACAGTATTATGAAAGACTATATGCTAACAAATTCAATAACTTGGAGGACATGGACAAATACCTAGTAAAACACTCCCTAAATTATCAAAGATGGACATTAAGAACTTGAACAGACCCATAGCAAAAGAAAAATAGACTAGGTCATCAAGAAACTCCAAGCTAAAAAAAGCGCTGGTCTAGAGGGATTCACAGGAGAATTCTACCAAACGTTTAGAGAAGGGCTGACACCAATCCTTCACACACTCTTCCAGAACATAGAAAGGGATAGCAAACTCCCAAATTCATTCTTTGAAGCCAGCATAACCTGATACCAAAATCAGGCAAGGACCCCACAAGGATAGAGAACTACAGACCAATATCTCTCATGAACATAGATGCAAAAATCCTCAACAAAATCGTGGCCAATAGAATCCAACACCATATAAAAACAAACAAACAAACAAACGAAAAACCCCATCATGACCATGTGGGATTCATACCAGGGATGCAGAAATGGTTCTGCATTCAAAAAACAATTAATGTAATCCACCATATTAACAAGAAAAATGGCAAAACCCACATGATTATATCAATTGATGCAGAAAAAGCATTTGATGATATCCAAGAACCATTCCTAATAAAACTCTCAAAAAAGATAGGATTGGAAGGGAAAATTCTCAATACAATAAAAACCATATACGAAAACCCAATAGCCAATATTACACTCAATGGAGAAAAGCTGAAAACATTTCCACTGAAACAGGGAACCTGACAAAGATGTCCCAATCCCCCTTTTATTCAACATTGCGCTGGAAGCCCTAGCCAGTACCATAAGACTATGGGAAGAGAGCAAGGGCGTACACTTGGGTAAAGAAGAAGTGAAACTTTCGCTATTTGCAGATGATCTGATTTTATATATCGAGAATCCCAGGGTGTCCACAACAGGATTATTGGAAACAATAGAGGAGTTTGGTTTGTAGCAGGATGCAAGATTGACAAGCAGAAGTCAGTTGTGTTCTTCTATACCAGTGACGGGAAGACTGAAAAAGATATCAAGGAAATGATACCAATTCACAATAGCCATGCAGAAGGTGAAATACTTAGGAATAAAACTTACCAAAAAATCCCTAAAGACCTGTATGAAGAAAACTACATAACATTACTACAAGAAACCAGTAGGGAATCTACACAAATGGAGGAACATCCCATGTTGTGGATTGAAAGACTCAATATTGTGAAAATGTCAATATTGCCTAAAGCACTATATAGATTCAATGCAATCCTGATCCAAGAATGATCTTCAAAGAAATGGAAAAAAAGGATTACCAACTTCATAGGGAAAGGGAAGAAGCCCAGGATAGGCAAAATAAATCCTCAAAAAGAACAAAGTAGGTGGTCTTGCTCTATTTGACCTCAAAACCTACTAGACTAGGCCAGTCCCTATCCTAGCTACGTTGAGTGCTCCCCAGAGAAATGCACTATGGAGGACAACACTGCAGATACAGCCTGGGGAAAGTGGGCATATCTGCCCAGACCACATGGGAGCAAACTACAACGGAGGGGGGCGGGGGGAGAAACAGCTTCCTGACCCACCAAGCTTCAAGGACGACATTCCCACTTGAGGAACTTTAGGATAGGCCTCATCATGAGAAACAGCATCCTTTACTGACCCACAGGTCTGGGGGAGGGATGGGGGAGGGAAGCACCAGAGACATAGTGTGGGAATTGTGCCCAGTCTGATTCCCCCCACAGCATGGTGTAACACGAAGGAAGCGCAACAGAGCAGCAAGGTGGGGCAAGGCAACAAAATCCCTGAGGAATTCTGAAAATAGACTTTGGATTCTATTTGGGGGCAGGACTTGGCACGGCATCATACCTGATCAGAAAACATTCTTAATGGTCAGCAGACAGACCTGGAACTATGCATAGGCTATATTTTGTTGTTATTGATTTTTTTTTTTTTTTGCATGTCTATCTATATAAGATAGGCAGGATAAACAATCCCCAGGGAAGGGTCACAAGGAAGGGATGAATCAGCCAGGGTGCAGTATAGCACTGACGAAACACACAACATTCCTCTAGTTCTTTAATGCTTTCTCCCCCCCAACTATCATGACACTAGTTCTATCTTACAAATCTGACTAGACCAGAGCATGCACACTGGTACAGATAATAACTTGCAACACACAGAATCTAAGGCATATAAACCCTCAGGACAAATAATGAGAGTAGTGATACCATGAGGGTAGGGGAAGGTGGGGGAGAAGGGGGAGAAAAGAAGAACTGATCACAATGATCGACGTACACCATCCCCCCACACCAGGAGATGAACAACAGAAACATGGGTGAAGGCAGACAGCAGATGGTGTAAAATATGGAAATAAAAAATAATTGATAAATTATCAAGGGTTTCTGAGGGTGGGGGAGCAAGGCGGGTGGAAGAGGAGCTGATACCAAGGGCTGAAGTAGAAAGAAAATGTTTTAGAAATGATGATGGCAACATATGTACAAATGTTCTTGATACAATTGGTGTATGGGTTGTTATAAGAGCTTTAAGATCCTCCAATAAAATGATTTATTTTAAAAACAAAACAAAAAAACAAACTGCTAACCAAAAACAAAAAAAAAATGTTCCTTTTTAAAAAACCCTACTATACAGCTATAGTTGTCAAAACAGCCTGGTACTGGTATAATGGCAGATAGATGGACCCATGGATCAGGACAGAACACCCAGCATACAGACAACTGATTCTTGACAAAGGCTCCCCAAAGTAATAAATGGGAGCAGATGCCCTCGCTGGATATCCACATGCAAAAGAATGAAACAAAACCCATATCTCCCTTCATGCACACAGCCAAACTCAAGGTGGATCAAAGACCTAAACGTAAAACCCAACGTTAGCAGGATCATCAGTGAGAAAATTGGGACAAAGTTAGGAGCCGTGGTGCCGGGAATACATCAGCTACCAGAATTAATAAGCGAAACACACTCTATGGAAGATAAAATAGATGACTGGTACCTTAAAACTAAAACACGTGTGTCCATTGAGAGACTTTATTAAAAGATTAAAAAGAGAGCCCACAGACTGGGAAAGATGTTTGGTAATGAATAACAGACAAAGGACTAACTACTAAAAAATCTATGGAATTTTACAAGTTTACAACAAGAAAAAAATCTAATAGCTCTCTGAGAAGGTGGGCAAAAGAACTGAGTGGAAGATTCACAGAGGATGGCACTTGAATGGCTAAGAAACACATGAGTAAATGCTCCTTGTCATTAGCCATCCAGAAAATACAAATCAAAATAATGATGAGATACCATCGAATGCCCATTATTGTAGTCCAGTTTAAAAAAACAACAACCTGAGAACAACAAATGTTGGAGAGGGGTGAGATAGGAACTCTTATTCACTGCTGTAAATACATACAGCCACTGTGGAAGGTGATATGGAGATACCACAAAAGATGGCAATTGAACTGCCGTATGGACCCACAATACCATTACTGGGCAAATACCCCCCAAATAAGAAACAGACATGTGTTCATCACAG